AGAGCGGTGTTAAGCCTTTCAATCCAAGGTATACCAAGCATAAGTCTATGTTGTTCAGTTCTGAGAAAGGGTCTTATACTGAAGTCAGCTCAAAATTTAGCTTTCTCAATGGCAAGAAACAGATGGATTCTGCTTCAGGAGTATGACAATACTTTGTCTCTACAAGAAAATCTCAAAGGAAGCTCAGAAGGACGTATACAGTTCCCAAGTGACCAGTTTCCATCAAAGCAGGCAACTGGCTGATGATAAAAACCACCATTACTAGGCTGTGTAACTCATAGAAATACTTCGAATGGACATTTTTGTGTTCATTCAGCCAAAGATTCCACAAGAATGAGAAAGTTATCAATTTTTTTTTTTTAAAACAGTAACATACAGCCCTGAAATCTAATTTAATCATCCTCTTAGGAGATCAATTGAAAGTGAAACAACTTGGGATACACACTTTTCATATCTCTACTTAAGACATTTTCAATATCTTATGTACAGAAATGCTGTTAGTCCCAGAACCATTTTGTGACATTATACTGAGGAAAGAATCTACACAGACACTATGAAGAAACAGATGGAAAAAGTGGCAAAGGATGTGCTGTGCCAAAGACTTTGAACACATCAAGTAAAACATAAACGTAATACACTGTTATTTTAACTATAACTTCCTATGCTTCCTTTGTATATAGATAGCTCCCTCAGGCTTTTTATAAATGTTTAATAGTATTATTTGCTTGTACAAGCTGGGAATTAGAGATGAGGTCTTCAGCTTAGTTCAGACTTAATTGACGTGATATCTCTGTACTGCAATTTCTACCTGCTCGGCTTATCCTGTCTCCTAAGGACAGAGCCTCTAATTGGAAGTTTTCCCCAAATCCCACTTCCTCGTACACTGCTGGGCACCACCATGTAAGGTACAGTATTAACCATGAAGAAAAAATCATTGCATAGGAATATAGCAAAACAGCACAAGAAACTGTAGGTTTGTTGGATTTCTAATTGCAGCAAGAACAAATAATCAAGGTCTTTCAGGCAACTATTCCCTCTGCAATTTTGTCTATGCAATAAGAAAGTTCAATAGAAGTAGAAAAAGCAAAATAATTTAACCACTTCCTAATCAAGGCACAGCTTCTCCAGTTGTTTTGCCTTCCAGCATATAGGCCTGGAAGCAAACACCTGGGACACTGTTCTGCTGTCTCCAACAGTGGCCAAGAGCAAACACCAAAGAAACTGCTCCCTGCCCCTTATCCCCACCACCACCATTATTACATACCTCAAGATGGGCAGAAACAGAATTTCACCTTTGCAAATGTATCATGGACCTTCTGAGCAGTAGAGATGCTTTTTGGTTTAATCTTTCCCAAGACTTCCTACTATTATTTGCTGTTCTAACTGCACTGGGGTGACATTTTCATGCAACAGTGAAAGATTCTAGTTTTCACTGACTGATAAAATCCATTTCCTCATTTTTTCTGATCTCTGCCATATTGCTACATGGATTTTTGAGGTGAGATAAAGGATAAAGGGAATAAGATAAATGGATTCCCCTCAGTGCAAGTACTGAATACAGACTGAGTACACTCAGCTATCATCTCCTTAACAGCTGTAGTCAGACAGTACAGCAGCACTCACTCCATCAACAATATACACAGTTCCAAGAGGATGAAAAGACCATGGCTTCCTTTCTCCAGCACCGTTTTTCCCCACCACACGAGCCTGTGTCACCCTCCCACTTTCTTACCACCATCTCCTTATCAAAAGGAAAACTTTCAGTGAAAGAATCAACTTGGGGAAATACTGGAATAAGGATGTAGTTGATAATTTTTTTTATAAAGTAATACAGAGTTGATGTAAAAGAGATCTCTCGCTTGTCCTGAGGTTCCCTCTGTAACATAAGTAGTGTTCCTATCAGGAAGAAAATGGTAAAAAAAAAAAAAAAAAATCACATTATGGATCCAAATACAAATATACAGTGCCTGAATATAGCACATGCTAAATACTGGTCAGCCCCACAGGCATCTAGTGTTTATTCCAGGCTGAATTTCCAATGAAGCAAGTTAAGGAAGGACATTTTTATAACTCCACTTTTTTTAATACTTCAAATAGGTGCCTGAACATAATGTTGATATTTATAATGAAAAATTATTTTATTAATATAGATATATATATAACTCCCTTTTTAAAATCAATTTCCTCATGAAATATTTTAAGTAGTTCTCAGCAACTGGTACTCTGCAACATTTTGCACACTGCTTGCACTGTGCTTGCTTTATTTCAGGGACCAAGGAGACTTCATACCTCTATTTAAACAAGCAGATAAAAATTATTGTAAACACTAGTCAAAGTTGATTCTCAAGTATAACGAGTCTGGGAATTTGAGCCATCAACACTTCCCAGACAAACACTTACATGTAGGAGCCTCCATACATCTGCCATCAAAACCACAGGCAGGCAGAGGTGGAGAATTTGCAAGGATGGGTGCCTGCTGTACAGCATCTACCCACCACCCCATAACAAGCCAGAACCAAATTTATTGCTGACCTTAATTAACTGTATTCCCTTCCTCAAACTGTTTAATTCCAAACCAGACATTTGAAAGCTCTAAACAAATAAAGTAGCAGCAAACTTGAAAACAAAGTGCCAATGCTACATGTTTGCATTTAGAGAAGGGCTGATGAATTCAGTGATAAGAGGTTGTTCGGTGCTTCACATCATTAGAGAAGCCACTGACTGGAAAGGCTGAAGCTCAAGAGGGAGAATAAAGCAACAATACTTGGTTTCAAAGGCAAGGTAGAACATCTTCTGTTAAAAAGAAAGAGACAATACTGACTCTCTTCTGAACGTATCTGTCTGTAGTTTTCCACATATAGTAATATTCTATTATGCTTGTTAAGGACTTCCATGGGAGCTAGGGACAAAAAGGAAAAGCAGCAATTACTGCAGAGAGCTGATGCACAGCCTCACTGAAATTCACAGGATTCCTCTGACTGACAGTTTATAGCAGAGTCTTGCAACTACCATGTTAATTTAAACACCCTTTCAAACAGCATTTTCAGTGCATAAGTACAGCAGGTTACAGGTAAATCTTCATACTGCATTGGCTTCACAGTAAACGATTAAAGAGAGGCACAATGTGGAAGGAGCCCACTGGCTCAGACTGACTCTGCTTCAGCAGCGAAGACTTGAGCAAGAGCCCTGACAACAGCATCACAGTTCTGATCTGCCTGGCTTCTATGGAGCTGGCCTATTAAAAAATCATAACTAGGAACAGAAATGTGTCCTGCCAGCTCAGTTTCCTGCGTGAGAAGCACAAGGACTTCTGCAGCAGGACCACAGAGAGTGTTGTGCAGTTTCCAAGTCTCTCTGTCTAAAAGATTAGAGCACAGGACAAGCAACAGTGAAACAACTTGTTTGGTTCCCGAGGGCTCAAACAGCAATACAGTGAAACTTGGCTCTCTTTATGGTGCTCCACTGAATCTACAAGCTGAGCACCTAGGGTGGAGCTTTGGCCAAACTACAGGATGCTTCCCTTGGATGCCCAAGATTCCATTTTAAAACTTGCATAAGGCCCTTTTCTGAAGTTACATTAAAAAAGTGACTAAATTTTCACAATTCAGAAGGCCCAGTACTTACTCTCCTTCAAACAAATTAATCTGTAGCAGCTAGGCTGTCACAACACTTTTCTAAATCCTCCCTCAGCTGCAGTGGAGCAGATGATTTTAAATTAAGGTCTCTAAAGGAAAAGCTATCATCTGTGATTTGAAATCCTGACTGTACGACAGACTGTCATCAGTACGAGGTCTGCCTTTCCCCAATTTACAGCAAGGCTCATGCTCCAGTTCAAAGCCCTCTTCTTCAACACGAAGGAAAACCACCACAGTTTAGACAAGCTGTAAATCCACTCTGTCACTGATGAGGCCACTTGGGTCCTCATTTTATATACTTACAAAATCTTGCTGAATATCAGTGAAATCTTTTCCGTATTTTTCTAGTGCTTCCTCAAACAGGTTTGCCTCTGAAGCAGACCACTCCTCCATCTCATCTCTGCACAGGACTGGCCCACCTTGTGGCACAAGCGCAGAGATTGCCTTGGAAATGTCATAGACATTTTTGTGCAAAGTGTCCATGGCATGGAACTACGTGGTTACAAAAGAGAAAGACAGAAGTAAGCACAAGCATGAAGGCAGAAAATCATGCTTAACAGTGAAACAGCAACAACAAAAATTCTACACTAAGGTTTGGGAGTGCAGTATTCCATACCTAACACAAAGACAGTAAAGACTTGTTCCCATCTCAAGACTCACTGTAATTATCAGCATACAAGTCTAACGTTCACTAACAAAAGTGGGATTTGTGGAACATGAGCCCTTGCAGATCAGCAGTTCCTACTTAGGTACTCACCAGTACCACCACTTTAGCACTACTGTTAACAAAATGCACAGGACTCTGCTCTGTTAGATACCAGACACATATGGGGCATAAAGACAGAGGTCCAAGGGCATATTTTCTAATAAACTTAGCCATGCACTTTTTTGGTGAAACAATTCACAAAATTACAGATAAGAGTAGCAACACAAGTATACAGTCCCCTCAGATGCCAGAAATAAAAAAAAAAAAGATTCAAGTGAAGTCACACATCGTAACTGAGTAGCATTATTCCCAGGAACAACTGCTCCTCACAAAGTGAAGGTATGACTGTCTGCAATTTGTGATTTACAAGGGCTGAGAACATGTTACGAGGGAGGAACTGGTATTAGTAAAGGAAAGTTTGGCTTTATTTCCTGATTTCTGTAGTTATAATCAGGATGTTATTTGCCTTTCATCATTTCAGTTTTATGCACGTGCATAATTAATCTACAGTGTTCCATTCTAGAATTTGTTCTATATATGATTTCACATTATTCCAGTTAGGAGGTGAGGCTTTTGTAACAGTTCTCTGGAGACTTCACAAATTTTACTCATATTTTCATTAAACTTCCTCCAACATAGAAGTTCAAGTTTTCCCTTTATCTATTCAGAATCATTTATGATTATAAAATATGAACAGTGTCACCACTCCTCAGTTATTCTAAAATGAAGCTCAAAGAGATGCATCCACTGGTATTTCTGATCTGAGCACAAGGCATTTCCCCCAGATGACCTTGCCGAAGGATGCAAGTGACAGTCTAGTGCTGGGGAAGTGTTGAGGAGTGTAATTCTGGCATTGTAGCACTGCAGACAGGCAGATAGTCATTTGTCTTCCTCTCATGACAGATATTAAGTCCACACAAGAGATGGGCTGGGAAATATGTCATCAAAACATTTTAATAAAAGGAAAGACAAAAAGAACTACCTCATAGAATTATCCATGATTGGTCACAGGAGGCACAAGCCCAGAAGTTATTTCCTATGTAAATAAAGGGTTCCTTTGCAAAGACAGGATTTGCTTCTCAGCAATTACAATCCACCTGCCCCTCTCTCTTTGCCAGCTGTTAGCGCTGAGGTGAATGTCCTGCATCACTCAAAAACTTAAGGTCCTCCTAAAAATCTTACCAGAGTGATGTCCCTAGAGGCTGCTGCAGCACTCATGTGCAAACTTGGCTGTCTGACAGAACTACTGCAATCCAGTGCTCGGGCAAATGTACCAACAGACCTGAAAGAAATGAAACAGAGCGTTAACTTCTCATGCAAAACAGGCATAAATATAAACACCCAAACAACACTTTTTGAGATTGGCAGACTCCACTTCTCAGTAACAAGATTATATGGTTTGGTCCCAGTTCTGAGCCAGTTCTCTTCTTCTGACCATTCTCTTCAGATGTGGTTTCTTACTATGAACACTTCACTTAGCTCATATGACCAAAGAGGCTTATGTGTACAGGGAGAAAGAGTGAAAGATTCAAGGACCACCAACGAGGAGTTTTGTACTACCCTCCTGTTGCTTCTCTCTCAACAGGCTTTGGCTCTACCAGGAACTGAGCATGAGCAAGCTTTATGACTGGCAAAAGGCTCTTCCGCAAGGGTGTGAGCAGCGCTGCGTTGTCCAAAGGTACAGAGACAGACGAGCAGGCAGAAGAGATGCAGTAACACAAGTGGGTTTCTAAGCTTCATAAAATTAAAACCAATCTTTATTTTCATAGAATAGAATCACAGAATCCTTTAGGTTGGAAGGGACCTTTAAGATCATCAAGTCCAACCATTGAGCCATTAGGGCTCTAAAGTCCTCTGCTAAAACAGATCAGAATCTGTCAGGGTTGGAAGGGACCACAAGGGTCACCCAGTTCCAACCCCTCTGCCATGAGCAGGGACACCTCCCACTAGATCAGGCTGCCCAGAGCCTCATCCAGCCTGGCCTTAAAGACCGCCAGGGATGGAGCCTCAACCACCTCCCTGGGCAACTCATTCCAGGGTCTCACCACTCTCATACAACTTCATGTTGTATAATATACATTATATAGCCTGCATAAGAATACAACTACTCTTGAATACTTTACAGTGTCAGCCATTCCTGTATCTGAGGCCACAATCCTCACGCTCCTCATTTTATTCCTAAAGAAATTAGTCTGAGAAATCTTTAACAGGAACACTGATCCCAGCAATCCCTACTCCCTGTGCTGCTTGCTACACCACATGGGTGAAACGCTTGTGCTCATGCACGCAGCTGGAGCTGAACTACCCTGAGCAACTACAGCAACAAAAAAGGGTGCTGGGTTTTTTTTTTTTACTTCACTCAGACCACCTCCCCAAACTAGTTGACCATGCAGAGGAACAAACTAGTGCCAAGCAGTGCAGGAGTAGGAAAGGTAAAATGCTTAAGCAGTAGTTGTCATCAAATATATGATTTTGGCCAAAACCCAAACCAGTCTCCCTCTCAAGTTTCTGTGGCGATTCACACTTTGCTCTCCTCTCAGCCTCCCAGTCACTATCCTCATCCCTGCTTCACAACTCCCCCATTGCCAGCTTTAGCTGAACTAATACTTTTGTGTGTGTGTGTGGCATCTAATTATAAACTGGATCCTTTGCTGATTCTGGACTGAAGAAATTTTTATACTGATCTTTTCAGTGATTCTCATTACAGCACACACCTTCGAGTGGCTGTATCAGCAAACCCAGCAGGCAGCAGCGAACAGCCAGAACTAACTATGAAAACCAGCTTTGCCACCAAAAGCCTACACAAGGTGGCAACCCCCATCACAAAGCAGCTCCATGGTCACTCTAAACCAACCCAGGTGCAAGCCCCCACCCATCGGGGCAGGTCTACCCTCTCGCTTCCTGCTGGGTCTTCCTGACACCAACAAACACCACAGTGGCAATTTGAATCAATTCTGCTTGAAATTTACCCAGAGAATAAAGTTGGTAGCTTCTCACTAGTGTCCTGCATTTCACTTGAAGCAACTGTGAAACCATGGGCTTCTCAAGAAGGGTCCCTTAAAAAGCAGGAATACCCTTTGCTGGAAATATCCCAGCTCACCCCATCACTCCATCTGTTTGTTCCACATCACTGGTGGAGATTATCCTCTCCCCGCTTTCATCCATTTCCCTAAGTTCACCTGAACAAGTAGAATTAATCTTTTGCACATAAATCTCTTAGTTCAGCCAGTCTGACTTTACTGTTGGCACAGATCAAGGGTAACAGCAATATACTGTGTAAGCAGCCCAGTGAAACTTCCAAGAGCCTAAATTTTATAGTGATTCTTTAGTGTAGCCAGAACACTATGAACTTTATGAACCTTTAAAAGTCTATACAACATAAAGCATATGTTTAACTAGAGACAAAAAATGTCTTAATGGATTCTGAACTGTAAGATTTTCTTCAATTTGGACTGCAGTTAACATTTTTAGTTTTAAGCAGCTTCATTTCACTGTTGGCTCCCTGTTCCTGAACTTGCACACAAGGCCCAAGCGGCCATGCAAAGGTTTTTAAGTGCTGCAATGCAGATTAGCCATTTTAAAAAATTTTGGCCAAAGTTCATAGCAGCTAGTTTTATCTTCAAAGTACAGAGTAAAATCAATTGGTGTGTATTTCTAAGTATATACCCCTCTCGTCTTAAGTACACTGCATTTCACCACTTCATTTACCTCAGATCTTTGTGTGTTGTCCCCCCCTCAGTATCTCCCCAAGTTTGTATCATTGAGCACGTTGATCACTCACTGCTGTTTGATAAAAACACACTCTGGTTGCATCATCCAGCGGCTTCCATAAGAACTGGAGGGCCCTGTCCAGGCAGATTTTCACATAGGTCTAGTGTCACCTCTCTTGGGAACACCCCATTAACTTACCCAACATGGGAACAGCCATGACACACTCAGGAAAATTCAGGATGAAATTCAAAGCATAACAACTCAGGATGGGAAAAAACAAGAACCAAAGGGCCGAGAGAACCAGGGCCCAGACACTCTGCTAAATTGAAATACAGACTCAACTCCATTTTCCAGGGATAAGGCCCTTGGCTGAAGCAGGTAGCCCTGCGAGTCAAGGTCCACGTTTATCACATACCATGGCAAATAAACACAACTCTCAAGACTAGTAAACCTGATACTACTAGCAGCTTGTAACTTTACACACTCCTCTCTTAACCATATCCAGTGATAACTTGTTCCACTAAAAACGTCAAAAGGTCCAATGACCCATCTACTTACACCACTAACCTCCCAAAGAGTCCTACAAACTTACATAAAAGACACAGAATTTGGAGTGCCACATTTTTTCTTTTTTTTTTTTTTTCTAAATTGTTCAGTCACCAGTTGCTGTAAGAGTCTAAAATTTAGTATAGGTTTCTAATCTAAGTGCATGCCAATGAAAAAGTTTTAAAATCTCTTAAAAAGGAAAAGTTGGTCAAAGATTGATTTGGACTTAAATAAAAGCACACATTTCACCACCTGTACAGATTTGCAGAATTTAACTTTATCTTGCTTACCTATTGGAATCTAGGCATTAGAAAGCATCCACGCTCAATCAATAGCATTTTACCAGACTTCTTAGCAAACTATTAACAGACATTAAAACGTCACTGGATTTGAGAAAGGGAAAAGATAGATAGAGTAATGAACTGGCAAGAAATTAGCTCACTAAGCCTTTGCTATGCTCCCTGAAGTATTTGAAAAACCTCACCAATTACAGAATAGTTTTTACATGCCGTTTGCTTTTCCTTTGTGGAAATGATTAAGTAACTTGTAAATCTGAGTGGTTGTTCCTGAAGTCACGCCATTCCCAGGAAGGCATGTAAAATGTCCACCATTTCAAAACGGAGAAAGCGAACCAAGCAACCAAACCATTCATACTAGTAAAGCAAAAGGAACATAAAAAGTGCTTTTATTAACATTTACTTATTTAAAAGAGAGGCAAAAGGTTCTTACCGTGCTACCACCAGGAACTGGTCTATCTGCTTGTCTACTAGTGGGTTAAAGGCTTCCCAAACTTTTGTTTCAAGTTTTGACTGATCTCTTCCATCGTCCTCACCTGGTTGAAAAACAAATTTGAAATGCTTGGCATGGCTGTTTCAACATAAAAGTACTTTCAAGACTTTTTTATCTAACAATAATTTAACTGCTGACCCACCCCAGTTACTCTGCCTAACAGGCCATTGTGAACTTTTCATTCACCTATTTGTGCCAATTTCAGCTTGACAGACACACCACATCTCGTCTAATCAGGAACCAGATTTTCAAGAACTGTTTTCAAAGGACACATGTAATGGGAAACCGAGTTAATCCTTCTCCCAACTAGACAGCCTCTCTTCAGCCCCTCTCTTCTCCTCTTTCTTGCAGCAGTTCCAGGAAAACAGGCACACTCCCAGGTGCTCTGAGCAGGCAGACAGTCACTGGTTCAACCTGCATCAGCCACTTTCTAATGGGGAAATCATGGCATCAGACCCTGACTTTTTGCTTTTTGTTTTCATGACTCTAAGCAAAACAAAATATCCTGAAAAAAACATACAGGAGCTACTGAGTTGTTGTTGTGTTTTTGGTTTTTGTTTTGTTGTTTTGTTTTTGGTTTTGTTTTGTTTGGTTTGTTTTTTTTTTTTTTTTTTTGTTTTTTGTTTTTTTTTTTTTGGTTTTTTTTTTTTTTTTTTTTTTTACTCCCTTTAAAACATCAAGAATATCCTTCTCTGAAGCCCCATGTTGGCCCACTGAGGGAAGAGAGCACCTTTCAAATTAGTTCATCTTCGCTTAGGAGGCTTGCCCAGCTGCTGAGTAAATACCAGTTTCATAGACAAACCAAAAAAGAATCCTGACCAATTTGTTTCCCTACTTTAACGTAAGGCTAACAGCATTAGCAGAGCTCCTAAGCAAAGGCAGATCACATCTCTGCCTATGCAGTCTGGAGAAGATCCTTCCAACATGTGTCACAACCCCTTGCCTCTCAGGAGAAGCATACTGACAGACCTTTCCCCATGCATTACACAGGTCTCGGAAAGGAGTGATTAGATGCCAATATTCCCCATCCCTCTCAGTTTTTCCACTAACTTTCGGATCCGTACGGTATTGTAAAGACAAGACTAAAGTTAGTTACTATTTGGTAACCAGCATCAGTTACTGCTGCTACTCCCTTTCCCTTGGGCCAGGGTCCTCATGGTGCTACCACCCCATGACACAGTGGGGGCAGGCTGAGGTCTCACAGCACATTCAAGCCAGCAAATTTCTTCTCCTGTCTGTTGTGCAGGTGAGAAGTCTAGGCTGGCAGCCAACACTTGGGATGGGGAGAGGGCTCTGAGAAATAATGGGCAAATTGATGAGGGTAGACAGCATTTAATTGGCAGTAATTTGGGAGGGGTTCTTACAGGAAAGTGAGGCTTGATTAAAAACACAAAAAGCTTTACAGACATGACGGAAATTTGTGTTTCCCATGGTAACTCTGAAATCTCTTAATAAAAAGAGTGCAAACTCTGAGAGAGCCAATTAATTCAATTTGTTTCAACAACTTTTATGATTTGGACAAACGCCCACTTAGACTGGTTTGAGACACAACCACTGCGTTCGGCTTCGGTCACCAGCAATGCACACCACCGTTGCACGCAGGAGCACGACCTGGCAGTGGAAACCTTCACCTCATACCTCTGCAGGCCACACAAAAGTGGCCACATTCGTTATAGCCTCTTGACAATTGAAATAAATTATGGCAATTACCCTCTTTTAGTAAGTCTGTTATATCTGCCTGGTATCTGTTTCCAACTCGAATCTCTCCTTTATCAGCGAGTAGGGTCTTTTGTTGAGGATCATATACTAGTGAATAAAAGAAGAAATCCTAAAAATAAAACAAGAACGAAAAAGTAAACAGTATTATAGCTTTACTTTCAGCTCTGCATACATACTAGCAAGCTTTTACATTATAAGTTTGATTTTACTACCTATATATAGATTCTAAAGTGGAATGAACAAACAATAAATGAATCACCAGTTTCAAAACCCTACGTTAAATGCTGCCATTTTCTTCTGTAATATAAGTGTGACATCTCTCTTCAAAAGCAGCCATTCCCTTAATACATAGTCTTTGAAGTGAACAAAGCTCCTCTTCACAAATGAGGCTCAAAAGGGCCAGGAGATAAATTTTAGCACTATCATCTGTTTCAGAACAAAAAATTGCACTTTTCCATAGATATATTCCTATTTCACCAAAATAGCAGTGCTAGATGCTAGTGACTTATCCACACTGAAATACTGGTACAAACTAAAGTGTAACTTCAGAGTGTTACAGCCCTACCAACGAAACACCCCACAGAGACACGAAGCCCCAGACAACCTCTCTTGTCTTTGCTAGCCTTACTCCAGTATGTCCATGTCTCTCTCATGCTGGGAGGCCCAAAGCTGGACACAGCACTCCAGAAGCAATCTCCAAAGGGGTGAATTCCTTCTCTTCCATCTGCTCGCTACGCTCCTGCTAATATAGACTGGGATGTTCTTGGCTTTCCTTGTCACAAGGATACACTGCTGATCAACTTCTAGTTTGCCACTATCTAAACTTAAATCACCATGTCTCCTTCTGCTCATTACTGGGAGAGGGTAGCAGATTTGGCAGCAGCAGCAATTAGCTGCAGGTGTCAATACATTAATTTGTTGCTTTTGTTCAAGCAGATGAGAAAGACTGAAAAAGCTGCTTGGCTTCTGTTGCCTGGGTGTGTAAAATTGAAGCAGAAGTCATACCAGAATGAGAATGTCCTGCCAGGATGGAGAAAGAAAACAGCCAAAAATTTAACTACTTAAAACTGCACAGTATAAATAATTAAAATTTTCCACATGGGTAACAACTTAGCTACAACTATTGAGTGACACATGGGAGAACAGGTATGCTCCAGCAAAGTGAAGTATGGGATACAGGGCAGGAAGAGAGCCCTGGTAAGACATGAAATAACACACCTATCATAACCTCTGTCCCCAGCAACACCAGGAAGGAGAAGCGTTTCTGAACAGAAACATGGGCTGTGCGGGGTACCATTTTTCACATCTCAGGTTTCTGGCCCATCTTCCCTTTCCCCATATTTCTGTGTCAACAGCAGGCACCCTGTTTAAATACGTCTCATTTCACGCTCATCTCATTTTCCCTTTCCTGTATTTGTATGTGTCGACAGCAAGCAACAAAAATTAGGACAAAACCAGCATCCATTTCAAGCCCTGTTCATCTTCATGAGGAGGTGGCAAGGGAAGAGGATTTCCCAATCTGTCATACAAAGCCTGAAAAAGGGAGAATCAGTGCAAGTTCCCCCAGCAGTGTGGTAAAAATTCTGTGAGCTAGGGCTTCAAAGGCACATACTAGTTCTATTCCCCAGCCGTCCGTATCACACATATTAATCTAAGACTGATGTCACAGAGTTAAAGTCTCCCATGTTTTCTGTACATGTATAACGCATCCAGTTACAGAATGTGAGAGTGTTAAACACAGTAACTATATTTTCCGCTCCAATTTTACTAAAACCGGGAAGAGATCAACATCTATAGAAGGGAGAAAAAATGGCAGATTAGAGCCAAGGAACCCAAAGCAGCCAAGGAGCCAAACCTGTTCTGCTACCTAAGAAAGCTACTACACAAAAAGGTACCACTTGTGCAGCACAGCACAAGAGGCATGACAGGAATTCACACCAATCTCCTCCAGCAGAAAACATGCCATTTCCCCACTGCCAATGCATGAACTTCCAGGGCAAGAGCAATCCTGTGTTATGTCATGATAACAGCATAAAAGTCATAGCTAACACTTGGAAAAATGCTGTTCCAAGATGCAGCCAAGTCAACTTGAAGCACTGTCTCGTGGTTGGGTTTGGGGGGGCAGGGGGGTGGATTCGGTTGCATCTTAAATTAACTATTTTTTTGACATAATTGATTCCTACTCGCACAGGCACCAGGGTCAAATTACATCAACCTAACAACAGAAGGGAACTTCAGAGTATATGAAAACTCATTTATATTATAGCTGTGTAAAGAAATCTTGGTCTCTTGCTCCCTGACATACACAAAGTTCAAGATATTACAGTATTTTGAGAATGTATTGTTGCACAAATAAAACAGTGGAAAGCTTTCATCTCACAAGCTTCCATATTACAAATATAGTGGGTTTTTTTTGTTCCGTTCCAACTCCAAAATACCTAACTGTAGGACAAAATATATGCAGTGCAACATTCATGCTTTTCAGGCATGTTGCCCAGCTAATATGCAAACCAAACACCATAGTATAGTAATGCAGTGGGCCCCAAGGAAGGCCAATTTGACAGTCATTTTCTTAACACAGTCTTTCTTAGCCAGGGAAAGTCATTCATTGTGTAGGCATTTTCTCCCATGGTATTAGACTGTTAGATGTCCTTCTGCTTCTCTTTTATTGATTATCAGTATGAATTTTCTCTATAAAATAAACTTAATCCTTCTCTACCAGTCTCAGGCTATCTTTTTATATCTTGTCCAGTTTTGTCTCAAATAAAGGAGATTCAATGAAAGAAAGAAAAGCTTTTAGGCTCTTCTTCCCAACCAGAGCCTCCTCAACAGAGAAAAAAAACAGAGGTTTGGGGCTCAAAGACAGACTCTAATCCCCCAATACAGCACTATAATTATTCCCCAGCTCATGCAAACTGAGTGGGATTTCTGAAAACATTCATAAATGCCAATTTAGTGCCAATGCAAACTATAGTCCAAGGAACAAAGAAGATCCTTGTATGCTCTTAAGCACACGTGAACTCCTGCTCACCACTACACAATAAGAACAATTTTTCAGAAGGGTTGCACAAGAAGATTGACATTCACACAAAATAACATGGCTCTTCAAAATCTTCCATGTTCGTTTAGCTGTCAAAAATCTGTATGCTTAGTTTGCAGCAGTTAAGAAAAAGAAGGGTTTTCTATTTCCGTTTCAGATACCAGAAAACACTCAATGTGTTTGGAAAAATTAAAATCACCTGCCCAGAGTTAACATTAATCCACTTAAAACTTTCCACTTCTCCAAGGTACTAGACACATATGCTCAGAGCTTCCCTACCCAAGCCCCTAAGCTACCTGTAGCTACAGCCAAGAATCAACGCCATAAAGAAACTGCAAAAGAACTGGAAAAATAAAACAGGCTCAAAGTGAAAGTACAGAGCAGAAATAGTGGTGAGTTCACATTACAGCTTGCAAACTTAACTTTCATTAAGTCACTTTGGGTGAGGGAGGGAAATATGAGCATTTTATTTTTAGGGGGCATACCAATAGGAACAGAAATGCCAGACATCTGCACAGCCAGCAAAATTCACACAAGCCTCTGGATATATTCTAGCAGAGCAATAAAATAGATGGTACATATAAAATAGTTTCCTGCAGAATACTGAAATCTAATGCTTTTACTCTAACTGGCTATGCCCTTCTCCTTATCTCTATGGGAATTCAGGATTTACAGGAAATTCAGTTTTTTTCCTTTTTCTTCCTATTCCTCACTCCCACTAGAAACCCAGTTTTGCCAGGCACAGTAAAAACATCAGTACTGATCTCCCTTCAGCCTGCTCTCCAAATTTAAGGAAGCAATCTTCCTGAGGAAGATGACAGAGAGCAGGTGGAATGAGTAAAACACAGGCAACACAAACGTAATTTTGCTATGCTTGCTATTTCCCTAAAAATTCCTGTCTGCATGTTTAGCCTCCTTTGATGCAGACAACCTTTGGCTGAAAAGCTACTTCTACTGGTCATAACATTTAAGAAATCAAATGACAGATTTCCCTAGAACTGCTTAGGCTTTATTGACAGAAGTCATGTTAAAAAACCAAAACCAAAAAAACCTTGAAATATTTTGAAAGCAAAGAATGGATTAAGAACAGTGTGGGAAGGAAGAAACAATTCAAAACAATACCATCCAGTGCTAGGAATCTGCCAGGCACCAACTATCTCCTTTTTTTAATCTCTTTACCCTCCACTCAAGCACATTTGTGTTCCTGAGCTTTTCATTTCTTTACCATCTGTCCAAGTTAGTTTGCACCACAGCAAAATACCATGCTAAGTGACAGGACACATTCAGGGAACTCTCTCATTCTGTGAAATCTCTAAGTGCCTGCTCGGTTTTAAAAATAACCCACATCACTCATCTTGCATTTTGAGAGTTCAAAAGGATGAAAAAAAAGAAATCTCTTTTTATTCCTACATCTGCAATGATTAGAGGAAACCAGCCAGCTCCCTTCTCTGTCTCAATGTACCTACTGGTAACATCAATGATAATAAAAATACATTCAGAGCAACGAAGAACGAACACTGCTTAAAAGTTGGGTATTTGTAAATCTAAAATAATTTCATTTTTATTAACTTTTGCTTTAAAATTGCCATATCCTAGACTGCTACCTGGTTACAAGTATTTCTGAAAACAGACGCCCTTGTTTGATGTGATGCCATTTGGCAGCCCTGAGGAGACTCTACATGGTTTTGGTTTCACATTCCAATGAGAAACCTGACTATTTAATCCCTGTGCTTTGTTTAAAATTCTCTTAAACTAGAGTATCAGATTAAAATTAATCTTATGCTTAAATAAATACTAAAGACAGCTAAAAAAAGCATTTAAAAAGAAAGCCCAACTATAAGACAGACTACAGAATGCTCCTTGCAAAAAAAAGACCTTTTTTCTCCTTGTTTTTTAAAAGGCCAATAATGAGCATTACCCTTCTGTTTTTAATTACAATATTTCCTCTGTTGTATAATTACTTAACATTTTCAAATGCAAATATAATGCTTGCAGAAGTGTTAAAATAATAATATACTGCAATTCTTTGCTAATCTTCCCAAGTAAATCTTCCCAGACTAACAAAATTCCAAGACTGTCTAAACAGAGCTGGCAGCTGGAGGTCTATCCATAATTAAAAGTATATTTTTTAAAACTGCAATAGTAATTTTTAAAATCCTAAACATCTGAAAAAGCAAACCCCAAGATTTATATTCTGAATAGAGATTAAGAGTGCAAGACAATTCAGTTTCAAGTGTCTGGTCTGAGGTACCTTGAAAGAGATAAACAGGATAAATTTCTGTAGGACTCAGAAGTTAACTGACAAGCAGTTTTTCAAGGATCTAAGTGTCTGTGGTGGCATATGAAGGACTAAAGGTAAATATTTTTAACAGTGAACTCAAAAAAACCCAGGGAGCTAAGTTCCTTCAGAAATCTGAGGTAATGTCAAACTTAAACCATACTCACACAAACCTGGAAGATTTCAAGATAAAGCAAATATAGAGAAATACAACCTGCCGGCTTGTTCCCTGCTCTACAGCTACCACATCTCCCACCCTATCTTGTCCAGGGCATGAGGTTTGACCTTTCAGGCTGCCAGGATGATGAGCAAGTAGGGCTCTCTTTACATAAGGAGAGAGGCAGTTTACTGTCACAGGGATGTAAACAACAGGTCTGGCCTGTAGATCCGCAAAGTTTTATATCAGAATGAAAACTGTACGGAGCCCAAAGCTTCCCACTGTCAATGTCCAGTATGGACAGAAATGAAAGAACCACCCTCTTTTCAGAAAATTTGCAAAAAGCCACCAATCCTAAGTTGTGCCAGAATACACTGTTCAAGCTAAACGGTTCACAGAATAGTTCATACCTCCCGTTCCAGATACGACTTAAGGGATTCCGTCTCATTTAAAAGAGTGACACTGCATTTGCCTCTAAAAAAGAGAAACACGTTTTATGAAAAAACATCTTAAATGCTTAGGTGATTCACAATATGGCATTACTGAAGTTGCACACGGAAATTAACCTTATGTTGAAGAACAGTTAACTAATAATAATGCCATTTGGTTTTTGAGTGGAAAGCACTGGAGGAAAACAGCCGTTACCTAATGTGTGTGGCTGGCAGAGATTCCAGCTGTCGTGAGAGAAATAGCTCACGGTGTCGTAGCTGATGCTTCTGTTTCTCTGGTAAATCAACCATTTCTGGGTTTTCCATCTCTTCTTCCATTTCTCCTAGTTAAAAAGAGACAAAATTGATCATCAGGAACAGTGCAAGTATTTATCCTGAACCAATCAGGATGAGCTGCTCCAGAACTTTGCTAAAAAATGCACATTATTTAGATTAAAACTAATTTCATCTGAAGCCTCACATTTCAGACAAGTGAACAATTAAATAATTAGTAGAGGTCCTTTAAATGATGCCAGTGAAGAACTGTATTTATTCACTACTGGGATCAAAGCATTCCAAGTACACACAGGTCACACTGTTCAGGAAGCTGGAAGCCCTACCAACAGAGAAGCTCTGAAAAGGGCTGCTCTCAGAGACCAGCACCTCTCCACCGGAATCATTACAAAGATGCTTACACACAATGGGTGAAGGAATGAAAGCAAAGTCTTTCCTCTTTGCCAAGCACCTGTTATCTTAGAACCTACTCCTCTTTCAGGATATCACAGATTGTTCCATCCCAACGACTTCAACAGCTTTTGCAGGCAATGCCCCCTGAAAAGGTTAAGTTATTTAATTACCATATTTCCTTCTTTTCAACCCAAACAGCCAACAGATCACAGCCAGGAGATTAACTGCAATGTAACCAAGTGCCTAAGGTCAGTCTTGCCACCTGCCCTACTCTACCCCAACCACACCACACACATTAGACCGCAGCACCGCATTTCAAAAGTTTGCCTTGTTCTGTCAGGATCCACTATCGCTGGATTGGAGCTAACCAACCAGTTTTTAAATGAATGCCACAGTATTTCTATGAAATCACATCCACACCAATACACAACTGACCAAACCATCTCTAGGCACCTTTCTTGTAAGAAACAAAATATCAGTATGTTTTGTGTTCATTAACAAGTACCCTGTCAATTACACAACATAAAGCAGTAAAAGGCAAAATACAAACAAAACGCCAAACCCCAAAAAAACAACACGCCACACAAAGCTTCTCCATGATGAACAACTGCAAAAGAAAACATCAGAAAATGAACTTAAGGTAGTTAGAGTATTTTACAAACCACAAGAAAAGTTTCCCAGACTGTACTAGAATGAGCTGTGAAGTCTCATACAGTGTAAAACTGTAATTTTATGGCAACAGTATTCTCAAAGAGTAGACTTATGCCTGCAGCTTAATTCAACTGTTGTTGCCAAGAAACGTTTCTAGTCAGAAACACATCCAGGCACAGTTTTGATTTATATACCATCAAGATAACTTAACTATAATCTTCACAGTTATCCTAAAATAAAGCAAAGAGAAAGGAGTGATCTCCATTTTATAAAACACTAAAATTGCATTTAGTCTGAAATAGGCCACCATTATGCCAAAGGGGGGTGACAAAATTATATACCCTTCAGGTTCCCCACAGTCGATCACTGTTTTACTGTCCTGGAAAAGGACCTGTGGTTTATACATCCCTCAGGTAAGCTGCTCCAGCAAGGAAGGAAAAACACAGTAACATAATTAAACTGGACTGCAACATACAGTAGCTCTTATAACACATGAGCTGTTAAGCATAAAGCAGTACACACTTACATTTTAGTACTTTCCTAGCAACTAGAACACCAAATTTACATTTGTGCCACTGTTTCATGGTTCTGCAATTTATTTACTGAAGCGGATGCTGTTTTAGTTGAAAATTAATATTGTGGCTGCTGACCTACTCTATAAATATACCAGCAGCAATCCACAAACAAGTCAGCAAGTTCTGAGCTAGCTTGCTGAAAAACTGAAGGATGCACAGATGAAAAGGCATTCATGCCTGTGCATACAACAGGTTTTAGAAAATGGGAGTAGTGCACTGCGTCATGCAGGAAAAACACTATAAGAGGCAACCTAAAATACTTATCTTCAGTATATTTAATGGCTCAAATCTTCCAACAAAATCAACCAACAAAATGAAACCACACAGCACAACCAAGCTAATCTTGGGAACCACATCCCTTCAGGTAGGCTTGTCTTCCAGCTAGTGTTTTATTTATGTGTCTAGATTTTGTAACAAAATAAGGAAGGTGGGAGGCGCATGTTTTCATCTTATGCCAGCTCTAATGTGCACAGCCTTTCAAAATAAAAAAAGCACAATAATTTTTTTCTTTAAAAAAGACAGACATTTCTACAGGAAACAACAACTCCCCATACACACAGAGGTAAAACTGTCATAGCTTCTCAAGGAAGAGACAGGAATACTGTAATAAATAACAAACAACCAAGTCTACATAAGCATCTTCCCTCCTTTTTCACGGTCATGATTTCGTGAATAGAATAACCTGGCAAATGCTTTCAGAACCAAGGGAAGGAGAGAACAGAGGGCTGGATCCAGCATCAGGAACCAATCTGCCTCACTGAAGTCATGCAAAAGTGGGTTTGACAAGAGCTGTAACTAATACCACCTCTCTGCCCCTGCACAGACAGCAAAGGCTTAAGTCAGACTATAAACCACAACAGGGGCTCACTCAGCCTCAGGATCCAGGACAAGCCCACCTGACACATCTGCACTTCACCCTCCTACAGCTCAAGCATTCAAGCTTTAAGTGAAGCAGACTGCATCCTCAAGAATGGTGGCTCCTGACAAATAAGGACCATCATCCCCCCAAAACATACATATATTTAAAAAATGTATAAGAAATCTTTTCAGAAAAACTGGCCTGTGATGTTTTACACTACCATAGAATAAATTGTATGGCAATACAGTAGGTACAGTATATTGGGACTTCAAAGCTCTCATAAAACCCTACTTAAAAATTAATCTCTCTGCTTGATAGATGTGCTTGTGCAGATTTAAAACTAAACATTTAGTTTTAATACAAACAGTAATATATTAACTATGCAGAAATAGCCAGTGGAATGCTGCAAAGAGTGTGTTAGATTAAGTATTATTTGATATTTGATGACAGTATTATTAGTAGTACATTAACAAAACTTGAAGACAACTTATATTGGGAACAAGAGACAGGCAGATTGGATACAAACAGCAAGACTCATGTGAAAGCTAACATATATGGGTAAAAACAATTAGAACGAGTAAACTCTGAGCTGGCAGGAGAAACCCAAGAGGCAGTAATTGTAATTTAAAATGACTAGGTGTCTGAGATGCAAAATTAAACGTCAATATTTGCTAGACGCTAGGAAGAGTACCAATTTCCTATAGATTAGATTGGGCTCCTGTTGGACACCATCAGAGGCAGAAAGCACCAGCCCTTTACTCTGCGCTCTGGGTGTCATATGAGTGGCCACATGGCAGAATTTGGAAACACAAAAAGGCAAACAAGATACAGAAATTATGTTTAGAGAGCACACTAGGTTGGCCAGCTTGGGAGTCAGTCTGTAGTACCAGAAGAATTAGTTAGCATGGTAATCACTAACAAAAAAATGTAGAGAAAAAAAAGAGGGGTCAAAACATGGGGAAACAGAGTAAAGCTGGTGCTAGTCACCTTCCTTTGGTAGCAAAGGAAGCTTAAACTCTTCGTGTTTTAACAGCTCAACTAAGCAGCTCAGAAGGACATTACAGAAGTGTTACATATGAAGAAATGAACAGTATACATTCCTTCTTCAAGGTTCAGTTTTATATGGTCTATATTAAGCCTCAGCCTTAAATTGCTCTCTACCAAAAACCAGATATTGGTTCACAGCTATAGAAAACACAGTGAAAGTTTCAACAAATAGAAATCCTTGTGCCTTGACATTTCAGGAGTTTGCCACAATATCAAGACATTGCACTACAATCCCTTCCAAAACCCTCTTGTGGTCATCTTTTGCAGCCATGGCCACTATTACTGGTAGCATACAGAGCAAACAGACACTATTTTGGATGCCTGGCATATATTTCCTTACTGTACCATCCCCAAAAGAGAAAAAAAACAAGCTTCCTCCTCTCGGTAACAACAGAGACAAAGCGTCATTAGTGAATTAAAAAATCTGCCTCCTTTTAAATCTGCCTGTGTGGTGTTGGGAAGAAAATGGAGGAGGAGAACAAAATGGTATAAATACAAATAAAAAGAACTAATTTGTGAACCTATTGTCAAACTGCATTTAAACTGTTGTTACCTAAAATTCTCAAAATGCCCTACCAGGTCTCAGGCAACTTGTGGACTGACTGAGCAATGACACCTCACTGCTGCAAGACGTTTATTTTTAGAAGCTTCGGCACTTATAAAACCATGCTGCCATACATACCTGGCACCCAAACATCAGCTGCTGAAAACTAACCACAAACCTGTCAAACCTGCAGGCACTAACTACTCATTTCTCCAGCCACTACAACTAGTCACTTATTGTTTTACAAATCAGCATAAACATTTTTAATGAAGCAAAAACGGTGGTCATAAGGCAGATCACAGGTATCTGGAGATGGCTAGGCATGGATTGATAGAAAGGAAGATAAGGAGGTTGGATTCCTGATGTTGGAAACATTTACGTAATTATATATGAAATTATGTAAGACATTATATAGAAACTAAATATAGAGGAAATAGTTGCAGCATCCAACAGTAGCTTGAAGAGTAAGCTATCTTTCTTGCTTCTTTCATCAAGTTCTGCCTGCAATCTTGTTTGCATACAATATCTATCTTAACCCACTATCAAGTCTCTGGGCAAGAATATTAAACAGTCTCCTACCAGCGGAGCAGGTTCATTTTACAATTCTATGATTTTATTTCAGAAATAGGTGGAGAAATTCCCTAGAATAATTTTTGAGGTGATTAAAAAGGCTTATGGATAGCAAGTGCTAACAATGTGTGGAAGCCATTATAAGGCTGAAAGATTTATAGGACAGCCCAGACAAGCTTTTTATCATATGATAAAAATAGTAAGTAAGATCAAATCCAAGAATCAGGTTGCATACATCAGGTACTAATTTACAATCACCAACTGCAGAATAAGGTGCTTCCAACTCATTTCTCTTTGCAGAGTTATGAGAAAAGACAACATACCTCATACTTGTCTGTTTCACACATCTGATGGATTATACAAGGTAAAGCACAAGCATTTTTAAATTTTTACTTTTTTGAACTTTGCAACATTCATTTTCCAATCACATCTTTTTTATTCTTTTATTGCAAGGGAAAAAAATATTACAAAATGTACATATACTTTTTCCATTCATGTTCTGGCCATATCTTCCCATTATTTGGCTCTCTCACTGCACTGACCTCAGCAGTAGGTCTAAAATAAAGGCGCCTTAAATGGAAGACTGTGTGAATCCAGAAATGTCTGCAGTCAGAAAGCTCCATTAATCAGCTGAACAAAGGCAGTTAAAAGATCAGCGATGCAGATACGTACATCTACTGCAAATGCATCAAAATGAGGCAACAGGAGACTTTATGGAAATGAACTCCAAGTCAGTGACAGCCTTGAGTATCTCTACTAGAATCTTAACATCCACAAAATGTAATTTCATTATATCATGCAGGATGTAGGGTTTTTTTTCCCCAGGGTAAAGAATTAACAGCTGTCCAAAAGCTTAATTTTACTCTCTTGTCCCTCCTAAAGAACAGAAGCCACACAACAGCCCATCTATCTAAATAAATGGAAGTAATTTACTAGCATTTTTATTCTGCATCAGAAAGAAACATGCCGGAAAAAAATGTTAGCTACTAATGAAATTTACACTAAGAGACAGCCTCAGCTGTCTCTGGTGGCTCTATTAATAGGATTGTGCTATAGAAGAATTCTGTCTTTCAAACATGTATGAATAAGAACAACTAATTATTTTTTTATATAAGTAATCTTAAATTTCTTATCACAGAAAGATTCCAGCCTTTGCAGGTTCAAAGAGCATTTACACAGGTTCAAATATTTTTCACTTTCAGCCTCAGATGTGTTTTCTTTGAGTCATTCCTACCTTCTTCCTTTACTAAATCTAGCAAAGTGTGACACAGATGAAGGAATCAATAGTCATGTTGTTTGTGGTGATGCTCCTACTAAGCTTCAGTATTCTCAGATAAAATTAATACTGCTGCACTGAAGAGATATAAAAAAAAAGCTATGCCGGCTACCACAATTCTGCAACAGCCAAATCTCATCCTAGTGCCACATGACCTTTTTTGCAAGGTATTGTGCAATAGAGGGACTTATTTGGACTTGAATCTACAACAGAAAATATTCAAATTTATCAATAAGGGGCTAGTTTTGCTGTATATTTTCCCCAGTGCCACTACAGTTGTGAGAACACAGCAAGACATTATATTCGTTGTTAAAACTGAATATCTGATTTAATCAATCCCCATGCACTACAACTATGTAGATCTGTATTACACAGACATCATAGTCTATTCATATATACACAACAAGAAGCACATTAAAATACAATGATGCTTGGCAGCCAAATCATAATTTGACATGCACAGATCTGATTGCTTCTTTTTCATTGATGTATGTGCCTTGAATGACAAGGATTGATACGGCTCTCCATGCTTTTGGTTAAATTCTAAGCGATCTGAACAGCTAAATCTCACATACTCCATTGCCCACAAGTAAAACAGCTTAATAACTCCACCTGCTCAGTCTTTTTCTCCCTTTCAACATGTCAATTTTGCTAACTGTTTTTTTTAGTATTATGTCCATCACCTTGCAGGGATGGGAGAAGAGGGATGCTGAACTGGCAGAGGAAGGTGTCATGAACCTAAACCTAATCCCCACTGGCAAATAGAAGAGAGTCAAACAGGCTGAAAGCACTGCGATAAAGTGCCTGAGGTCAGGTAGTATATTGCACTGCTGCTCCACTCAGAGATGCATACTCTCCTTGAGAGCTACACAGTGCACCATTCTCACCACCTTCAGTTTAGAATGCATAGGTCTACAGCAGCTTCTCAAGCTATTTTGCATGGGGTTTTAACCAAAGTTTTTTAAACCTTTTTTTTTTTTTAACAGAAGCTATATAAGCAAACATCTAATCTATATTGACACATCTCTATATTTTTGCATGTACTTTTTAGCGTTTTTAAAATTTCTATAATTGAAAGAATTGTAATGCTACGTGTTTAGGAATAAGCTTCCATCTCTGGTCAGCTAGGTACCTCCCATGCCTCTGATCTCTTTATGAGAAGCGTAAATGTCAATGTAAGTTAACACAAATTCTTCCTATCTTTTATTTTGTAAAATAACAAAAGTCAAGAAATTAGTTAAGGAATGCATATATGCAAGGAAGACTGATGTAACGTAGCATGAAGAACATTCCTGCCGCCCCCCCCCCCCCATCTTTCTTATTTTTTTTTTTCTTCTTTTCTTTGTTAAAAAAAAAAATCAGAAAGTAACTACAGTACTAAAAAAAAAAAAAAAAAAAAAGGTTTTATGTCTCCTCTCAACACATACGTTGTTTTTCCCTAACAAAAGGACATGAAATATTCAAAATAGTGATGTCCTAATATACTTCCTCTCATCTCAAAAATTAAGCATTTCACTTCTGTGGAGAAAAGATGATATCTTTATTCAGCCCTAACCAAAAACTTCTGTCCTGTCCCCACCATAATCAAATCATACACCAAATGACATTTTAAAAGATTCATGGAAAAGGAAGGTGGAGGGAAGGAGGGGGAGTAGGAGGGGAAAGTGACAAGTCAGCCAAACAAGTAATGCAGCTTGCTGGAGGTAAGTACAGAAAAAGGACACTTAAAAATAATAATATTGATACTTGTATTTGCAAAGTTCTGTCCAAGTTGGGCAATTTTGTGTAGAAACAATCCAAACAAGCTTACTTGCATGTTTGTCTGCCAATACAATAAGTGTACTTGATATGTCTCTTCTTCTGTAGAAACATACCACCTTTGCTTCCACATTCCCATTGGCAGTCTGAAAAAAAGAAAAAAAGAAAAACTGAGCACAAACCAAGGACTGAACTGTATGCATCAAACTAAAACTTCCTAAATAATAATAAATTTTGCAGCAGGGCTACATAGCATTGCCTTTTAGTACCCTCCACTTGCACACACATTAGGACAGAAACTCTGATGTGATCCATTTGACTTTGGCCTTTCCATCCTAATTATTTCTGTGGAATCACCATTTCTACCAGTTACAGATGTTTCCAGGCATGAAAGAAAAAAACCAAAACCACTAACATGCAGTTACAACATACTAACAAGCCACTATGCTACTTTTCAGGTGATGCCTACATGAAGTAGAATTCAAAAGCATCTTTAAAATCCTAACGAAAGAGACTGTGATATGGTACAGAATTCAGGTTCAGGCTGTTCTCCAATCTCTGTAGGACAGGAGGAAAAAAAGAAAGAATTCACAATTATTATTTCCGCAAGAGAAACTGCAGAAGGTTTTTTTTCCTCTGACAACAATGGTAAGCTAAACTACGACCACCACCATAAAAACAAAATAACACCACCAGACCAAACAGATAGATAGACACACACAAACCCAAAGGCATCACAAACCACACCCAAACCAAACAAACAAAAGGTAATTTGTAAAGGAATCAGAGAATCGTTCTGGTTAGAAGAGACCTTTAAGATCATCAAGTGCAACTGTCAGCCCAGCACTGCCAGGTCACCACTAAACCATGTCCCTCAGCACCACACCTCCACAGCTTTTAAACTCCTCCAGGGATGATGACTCCAACACTTCCCTGGTCAGCCTGTTTCAATGCCTGATAACTTTCTCGGTGAAGAAATTTGTCCCAATATCCAACCTAAGCTTTCCTTGGTGCAAAGAATCAGGAGAACAAAGGAAGCTGCACCTGACAATAAACTCTACACCATTGATAACATACAAAAAAAAAGTCTGAGTTTCTGAAAGGTTTGAGTTTTTTTTCTTAAAACAAGATATAGGGGATCAATCACTTATAAGATAGCACCTACCAATTTGTGAAACTGGCTGTATATAAACTCTAGGGGAAATACATCTATGGGTTTGTAACAGCCCTGGCCAGTCTACCATCTCTAAAATCAATAAAGAAAATTTAAGTTAAAGGAATTGTATCCCACTACCAAGGAGTCCTTGAAAACCATAATGATGGCACCACAGTTTAAGAAACTAGAAGACTAAGATACAAATTCCCCTGTGGGAAGTCTCCAAAGGTAATGGACCCGCAATTGATCCACAAGGAAACAAAATTAAAACCGATATACATGCTTGTTGCTAAGACAAGAATGGAGGAAAGTTCCATCTCTTATAATACCAGTTCTCCTAACACAAAGGAAAAAAAAATCAGGGTATACATACATGCATAAATATTTCCCCTTGCAGCCCACTAATTTTTGGTACAAAGCCTGTAGGACTTCTGTCCTTTCCTGTTAAATAACTCAGAGCTTTTAAATTTTGAGGAACTAAAATACTAAGACAGGAGCCATGTTGTTAAAACACAGACGGCTACAATGCAGAATTATCTATTTCATTCAATAGGCTTCATTTGTACTCAGTAGAAAAAGACAACACAAGATAAACGATTCATTTCAACTTGAAAGCCCCAGCATTCAGGTTTTTTGTCATTATATTGAAACATTTTCTCTTCCAAGTAACTGTTGCAGAAAGACACGTTTTTCCATCAGTGGTGGCTGAAAAAAAAAAAATTTCAGCCCATTAATTTAAACGGAAATCCAGCCCAGCAATGTTACATTCCTTCTGTAAGGCTGCAATGGACATGCTGGTATTAAACCTGATAAAGTGGAATGTCTGGGACACAGCTAACGGCTTCAGAACAGTCTTCTCTCCTCAACTGGATAAAATTTCATCATTGAGGACTTCAGCGGGCTTCCCACATACAAGCTATCACGCTTCCCGTTTAGATACAATGAAAGGGAAATTTAGCAAGAGAAATAAAACACTGGCCAAAGAACAAGCAGCAAAGACAAAGTCTGAGGAAACAGGTAATAGCTCCAAACCTTCCTGTTGAGCAAGTCTCCCCCAAGAAAGATCAAATTACAAAGCTTTCCATCCTCTAGGCAAAGGGTTATATTAGCTTCATACCCTGTGATCCTGGCACTGAACTGAGTACTGCCCTACAATCGGCCATAATCACCTTGAGAATGAGCTGCCACTGACACGAGGTCACTTCATACCAAAGAACAATCTAGCAGGTCTCAAAGCATTCCAGAAAATTAACGGAACAAAAGTATTTTTAAGCTTCTAATGACCAGAGCACTGCTAAAGCATTGTTTTGATTGCAATCAAATCAAACATCATAAATTCAATTAACTTCAAAGAGGATGGAAAATTTTGTTTACCTTATTGAGCTCTTCTATTCTTCGTATCAAATACGGGTTACTTGAAGAATTTTCAAAGTAGACGTAATCTGACAAAAAGAAAAAAAAAAAAAGACTTTAAAAAATTATGTGCTAAAAATCGAACCAAAACCTCACATGCATACTTGTTAGAAACACCACACCGAATTAATTTCTTAGCACAGGCAGTACTTGAAACGTTCCTACGAAATCCACGATTTTAAGTGATGAAATACAAAATCTATGCTGGCATAAGGAAAATGTATTAATGTAATCTGAAGGCAATAAACGCACTTGTGGGGGTGAAGGAGCTCTACTGTCAGTCTGGAATGAAAAGCATATGATCTTCCTTCTCTCTCTGATGAGATTATTTCCACTTTGATCACACTGTTGTCTTCACTTGCTTCCTCTTATCAAAATCCAGCCACCTCTCACTGGCAATATGCAATCTTTCCTCTTCCCCTCCAGCTCAACTTACACCTACTCTCCATTTACTTAGCATAGTTTATTTCTTTCTTGCTTGCTTATCTTCTTCTGGACTTCCTGGTCTTTTACACCTATATTATCCTAGAATAACCTCAACAAAACTCCATGCAGTGAACCAAACAAGTCAATAAGGCTCATATTTTCAAGCAGGACAAACATCTTAAGTTTACAGGAAGAAAATTAGTTCTTTAACCAAAGTAGTGTCTTCCAAAAAATCAGAGGAGCATCAAGGAGTCCTATATAAATTTTTCTGTATTACTGAGCTCCAACCTTAAACAATCCCTTTGTCCAGGTAAGGAAACAGCTCAAGAGTCCTGAATGGCCTTGGCTTTTATCTCCCAATAGTCCAGAAGCCAAACCCTAGGCCTTAAAACTGAGGTAAAAAGGGCTGAATTCGCCTGCCTGCACAGCCACCCATCCCTGAGTGCTGACCTGGCATGTAGATTTGAAACCATTCCTTCCAAGGCTACCTACTAAATTCAAGACGACTTCCCAGCTCAATTGTGTTTGGAGCACATTCACAGCCCCCAGCCATGACTCCCCACACTGAAGGCATTAGCATGGTGCTCCACCGATGAATTGGTGTTTGGCAGTTGGAGCCTTTTGTAAATGGAGACAACTACTGACGCTGTTAGTCTCAATCTCCCCGAAATGGTCCTTAAAAGGGCATCACCAGAGATACTGTTGCCTCCTCCCCACACCAGAGGAAGGAAAACGCCCCAAGGGCCTCTGCTCTTGAAAAGCTGAACCGTGAGAGTTAACGATTCCACTCTTATCTCCAGGGTGGCCAGGAAGACAACAGAGCATTCACCCCTCACGCCCTACAGCAGCCCTTCTAACTTCCCGCATCGTACTCCTCAAGCTCTGGACACCGATTCTTTCCAACTCCTCCTCAGCGCTGAGGTTAGCCGTAGGTCTCCCTGGAGGTTACAGGCCAAGCTACACGAGACTCGAGAGCACGGAGTGCTGGGTGCAAGCCACAGCTTGCCCTACCTGCAAACCCAAGTCCCCTCGTGTCCCTTCAACAGAGCTGGGCTGCCTTAGGAGAGCTGTCACAAATCAGGATCCCCAAGGGTTACAATCCCAAGAGTGACAATAAATAAAAAATAAAAACCGGTTTCTAAACTCCTCTTTAAAAAAATTGTGTCACATGCCATGAGTTGCAGACACCTTGACAATGAAGTCTCAGCAGTCTTGGCTGAGGTGATGAGAGAGGAGGCTGCAATGCCAATACTCCAACAATGCACTTCTTGGGTTACCTAACCACACATAGTGTAACTAGGGCCAATAAAGCATAGAAATAATACACCATTTTTTAAAAATGCTTTTGTGCCTTCTGTGGTCCAGACCTCTTGAACTGATCATCAGCTATCTTCATGCACACACCACAGATCGAGGGACTCCAAAATTTTCTTCCCAACTACAAGAGGTGGTTCCTCTTGAGTGTCACTTCTCTGAAAGCTTTACACTGGAGAATGATCTCATCTAAGGAACTGAACATCTTGTTTGTAGAAAAAGTTCCCAGAAACAGTTAAAACACCAAGTAACCAGGTCCTAAATTTCCACTCCCAAGCACCTGCTCTATGCAGCACATCAAATGGGAAACAACAGGCTCAACATTACTATGACCAACTCTACCAGAAGTCACAAAACCAAACAGATATTTGGCAGCTTCAGCAATAACAACTGCTGACTGAAATAACCATGACAGGCATTAAGCAATTTACAGATGAGCAGAGTAAAGAGAAATCTTTTCTCCCACAGCAGAACCACTCATGCCCTACAAGGACACTGCAGTGGAGGATGTGGAAGCTTCGAGGGGCCCCTGAGCTCACCAGCCACCTCTTGCCTCAAGGATTCCTCACATGAAGAAAGAATAAGTCCTCTCCCTCCACCTCTCTCATTACACTCAAGATGACCAGCTACCCTGCACTTCAGGTAAGCTGGCTGAACTTGATGCAAAAATCTTAGATTTTCTCATAGACAGGTTTTCTACCTCAAGTGAACATTAACTCACATTTTCATGTAACTACAGTTTATCGGATGTAAAATCAGGCATGGACTTAAAATTTATCCCAGACGAACGGTTTACCAAAGAGTAGCTCACGGTGGTATCCAACAGCTGTGAATAATAAACTCACCCAAAACAACTGTTTTGCTCAGCAGAATGAACATCCCCAAACCCACAGCAAAAACACTGCTGCAAATGAACCTCACACAAAACAGCAGCCAAGTGCACACCACTGGCAGAAAGGCAGAAACAAAGCTGTCCCATGGGATTCTTCAAGAGCTGACACCACGCTGCAGAGAGGGATACTTAGACCAGTGCTTGATGACTTCATCACATCACAATGCACAAGCCAGTACACCTCATCCATGTTTTAGACTAATCCCACAACTATGTTAAGCATTTCTCCAGTAGCTATGCAACTAATGGAGACCTATTTCCCATTATTCAAATTACCTGAAAAAGGGCTTTTTCCTTTCTGCAAGTAATACAGAGCACACTACAAATCACATAACAGAATGTGAGCAAATCAGAGGGTAGTAATTTGCATTTTTCATGGAGGTTTTAAATACTTAAACTAAAATTCAAATGCTATCCTGCACAGAGAAATGCTCGAGTTGCTCACTGTTCCACACTTACTACAAGGAAACTTTAAGTTCAACAAACCACTCTCCAAGCTGATGCTTTAGCAGGTGAGAGCATTGTAAAGTTGTGCCACAAGCAGTAACACCCACAAAGGCTGGTTTCCTGAGCACCACGCTCCACTGACCCCTACGCTCCAAGACACCTCCTTTTCCTTAAGCAGCATTTCCTTTCATCTTCAGGTCGTGCCGTGGAAGTGGAACCTTCTCATACTGCCTACCCAACTAATACCATTCCCAGTTTGCTTTCAGGACGGCAGCTACACAGCGGATAACCGAAAGCCTCTACAGGCTCCTAACAATCCAGCTGATGGGAGACATGATGGGAGACATCCTGTAGGTGCACAACCACTACTCTCTGCCCTGGGCTGAAGGAGGGGATGGGGAAAGAGACAAAATTAACGAATCTCTAAGCAACAGGAAGATATGCATCTCAGCTCCTACCGCAGAACAGGAAGGAAGGAGTACAGTAAAACAAAACAAAAAGGCTAAGCACAGAAAAGCAGAGCCAGACAGCAAGCAAAACCAAGTTAAGATCTTCAAACACAACAGTGTCTGTCCGTGCTAATTTACTGGCTTTCAGATGCAGACGTCTGAGGAAAAGGGCTAGCCTTTCTGCTCTGCACCCCACAAGAACAGCACATCTCCCTAACAGCAGCACAAAGCTCAGCCCCTACGACTCAGCCACCTGAATGAAGGTTGGAGACTCAATCCCATACCCTCACAACAGCCTGCAGCTTAAACTCAGTCGCTAAATTTATCAGCCATGCATCCACATCATGATGGTAATTAACACCATCACTCATTGTGCCCATTACAGGATTCCCTGTGATCAGGCTAAAGCAACAACTGACTAGTACGGCAACACCACAAGACAGTAAGGACCATCATGCATATCACCACCTTCTGACTCAAACTCAAGATTTATTTCTTCCTCTTCCTTATAGAGCAAAAGTATCCACATATGTGAATCTAGCCAAAAAGCCTTCCTATCCTACAACATTTTTTTTCTGAACCTAAGAATACACACCATTTACTAGAAAGCAATGCTACACTACACAGGTACTGAACTGTTGTAACACAGATACAGGCATACTTGCAACAGTACAGCAGCTAAAACTAGAATGACAGCCTACAAACCACAGAAGATGGAAAATTTCCACAAAGGCAGTAAAAATAATTGTTCTCAACTAGCAATAAACACAATAGACTTTCTTTTTGCTCTCATGCTTTTAAGACATAATTGCAAAGTAGTTTCCCTCTCTGCCCTCTTCATGTCAGCTGTAAAGTCTACATTGGTCCATGAAAAAGAAAATCAGAAAGGGGTTCCACAAAAGAAACAACAGACAACATCTTGAGGTCATATATTTATAAGATCAGGCATGTCTGAGCTACCTAAAAACCTTATGGGCTTTCAGGTGATCAAGTTGCAAAAATGCCCAAAGGTATTTTCATCCTTCCCAACTCAGACTGCTTTTCAAGCAACTAGTGCTTACTGAGGACTGACCTTGATGAATGTTACCTACCTTACCTCCAGAAAGTCTTACACCCTGTGTACTGCATCAGCCTACAGATACATTCAGGACATGAGGGAGGCTGAAGCCTCCTATTCCCATACTCACTACCAGTGTTGGGAACAATGTGCATTTCCAGATGTGATAAACAAGTAACTTCACAGTTGCAGATACTTCCTTTGTCCAATCTACAAAGCTGCTGCCCTGAATTAAAGATGAGTCAAGAAAGTGCATAAACTTAAGATGACCTGCCTATTTTATGACTTTTATTACAGGAACTATATGTCTCCTCATACACTAGGTTTCCACATCAACTTCGGGCCAGTTTCTTCCAGTAAGCTCTAGTTTTCAAATTATTCAGCAGTTTGGTCCTGTAACTGTCAATCACTTTACATTTTGTATAATACAATCCCTCCTGGACT